ACGCTGGCAGCCGAAACTCTTGGTAACCGAGTGTGGTGCAGCGGATGTGTCTGGGCATTTGTTCCCCTGGCGCTGCTTGCCGGGGCCGCCGTGGTCAGTGGCTGGCACCTTTTAGGCTCCTCAGTCTCGAAGGAGCGATATTGAGGAAAGCAAGGGTTCTAAGACCATCTATCTTGATCGGGTATTCTACTCGGACTCAGTGGGGTAGATCGTCTCTAGGACTCTAGGCTTGCTCAGTCACACTGTGTTCTGCTTTGCTGGCAAGGTCTTAAGGGCCTATATGGTTCAGCGTCGGGCGTTCCCGGCCCCCCCCCCCCCCATGGTATCCCCCCCCCCCCAAGTCTACTCTACGGTCCCTAAACCCTAAACCCCTAAACCCAAACCCTAAACCCCTAAAAACCCTAAAAACCCTAAACCCTAAAACCCTAAAGCCCTAAACCTAAAAAACCCTAAACCCTAAACCTTAAGTCTTAAACCTTAAACCCTAAACCCTAAAACCCTGAACCCTAAACCCTAACCCTAAAACCAACCCCCAACCACACCACAGGGGGGGGGGGTATCATCTTAGTACCCCATCCGCGGGGAAAACCCTAAACCCTAAACCCTAAACCCTAAACCCTAAACCCTAAACCCTAAATACCCTAAAACCCTAAAACCCTAAAACTCTAAAACCCTAAACCCTAAACCCTAAACCCAAAAAACCCAAAAACCCTAAAACCAACCCCCACACCACAGGGGGGGGGGGGGTATCATCTTAGTACCCCATCCGGGGGGGGGGGTAGGGGGGGGGGGTAGGGGGGGGGGGGGGGGGGGGGGGGGGGTTGGGGGGGGGGGGGGTTGGGGGGGGGGGGGGGGGGGGGGGGGGGGGGGGGGGGGGGGGGCCCGCCGGGGCTGAACCATTTTCTGTGTCCTGTGCAACTCTGCCTGGTTGTAGAAATCCCCCGACGAGGCCTGTTGCTCGTCCTTGTCCGCGGCAAGGCTCGAAAAGCGCAGTTCGATGCAACAAAACCTGCTGTACATGACCCGCCCTGTGCCGTTGGGAAACGAGATGGTTTGGGAACTCCTCGTGCTGCATGTTCTGGGTCATATCATGTGACATCTACATAGGCATGCCAGGCAGCACCTGCTGCAGCTTCGCCAGGACTTTGCCGTACCTTTCAAATTGGAGAACCTTTACTTGTGCGAGCTGTACAAGGGCGACGTGCAGCCAGCTGGCCTCATCAAATGGTTCATTCAGTTGTCCGATGCAAAAGCCCTCGCCCCAAACTTGGCAACTGAGGACGAGGGCTTGCCAAGAGCATAGCAGGTTCTCCCTAAACCCTAAACCCCTGAACCGGTGGTAATTCCTCCCCTGCCTGCAAAGAAGCACGAAGAAAAAGCCCCTTGCGCGAAGGAGTACTGAGAGAGGGTCATGTCCTGAAGTCTGCGTACTGTAGTTTCCCCTGAGTACCTTCTTGCGAACTGAGTAACAGGGGTTTAGGGTTTAGAGTTTAGGGTTTAGGGTTTGCGTATCACCGATACCCGACTTGGCCAGTGCTGGGAAGGGCCTAGCAAGACCATGGAACAGTGTGTGCCTCGCCTGTTCCGAGTGTGAGCGAGAGAAAACCCTAAACCGATTCAGAGACAGCGCCTTGTAAACCCTCAACCCCCTAAACCCGGGTTGAAGTTTGCGGCGGGCGCCGAGTCAACCCTAAACCCGGGTTGAAGTTTGAAGTTTGAAGTGTGGGGGGGGGAATGTGGGGGGGGGAAATGTGAAGCTTCAGAGGTCTGCATGCAGCTTAACATCGGGGGGGTGTTTTCCTTAAGGGAAAGTGCTTCAGGATGCGGGGTGTTTTTTGCCGTCCTTATCCCAGAGCCGCCCCTCCTTAAAGCTTGAGCTATCTTTAGGGTTTAGGGTTTAGGGTTTAGGGCTTCATCTTGGGCCCAGGCTTTGTGGTGACCTCCCGCGGCTGAAGCCTGGCAGCCCTGGGGTCATGGACCTGAAGAACTGAAGCTTTGAGAGTTCAGGGCTGATATGGACTCCTAAGGCCAGGAACAGAAGCACTAATGTGGTATCCTGATTAGTGTGAGGCCCCCCCCCCCCCCCCTTCAAACTAAATACACCCCCGTAATAGTGTCAAAAAAAGGGACCCCCCCAAACTAATTTTCGGCCCCGGGCCCCCCCCGACCGGCTCCTCTTCATTTCCTCTTCGCTCCTCTTCCCTCTCCTCTTCCTTTCCCTCTCCTCTTACATAATTAAGCTCAGGTAAGCTCAGATGAGCTCAGCTCAGGTAAGCTCAGGTAAGCTCAGGAAAGCTACTCAGCTCAGGTTGGGGATGACAGCTCAGAACTCCGACTTGAAGCTGCTCTTCTTTTGCTCTTTTCTTTCATCATCTTGTTCTCTTTTTTTCTCTCTTCCGAAACCCATGCCCGAAAAACTTTACTTTATTGTGGGGGGGGGGGCAATCGAATTTTTGTCTCCTGAATAATTTTTGGAAAACTTTCCATTATTGAGGGGGTCCAGACTAATCAGGATACGACATTAAACCCTAAACCCGAAACCCTAAACCCTAAACCCTAAACAGTTGGCAAAAAAAACCCAAGCCCTAGGCAAACTTTCCCCGCGCGACCTGAGGATACTTCTCCCCATTTGCCTCGCGGCCGGCGCTGCTGGGCCTGGCCTCCTCATTGCCAGGCCAGCTGCCTACTTGGAGGTTCAGGGTTTAGGGTTTAGGGTTTAGGGTAAGCACCCAAAATGGGCTTGTAAGTATGGTTCCTATACTTTTTTGCCCTACTTGTGACGACCCATGAACCTCCAAGTAGGGTCCTGGTGGGTACCTGCCTTTTGCTGCGCAATGCTTGGCACTTGAGTCATGTGGCCCCTACGCTGAACATACCTCAGCAGTGAACGCGCAAGCCTTCGGAGCGGTAGCCTAAACCCTAAACCCTAAACCCTAAACCCTAAACCCTAAACCCTAAACCCTAAACCCTAAACCCTAAACCCTAAACCCTAAACCCTAAACGGTGTGACAGCTTGGCGTCTTCAGCGACTTCGGGTGTGGTCGCGCTGCTGCCACACCGGCGAGCACTCAGGGCAGACACCCGGCCCAGAGCAGCCAAGGGCTTGTAGGGCTTATAGGGCTTATAGGGCTTCTAGGGCCTTATAGGGCTTATAGGGCTTATTAGGGCTTATTAGGGCTTATAGGGCTTATAGGGCTTATAGGGCTTTATAGGGCTTAGAGGGCTTATAGGGCTTATAGGGCTTATAGGGCTTAATAGGGCTTATAGGGCTTATAGGGCTTGTAGGGCTTAGGGGCTAAAGTCCGTTGCTCAAGAAGGGCTTAGGGCTTAGAGCTACAAAACAAACCCTGGGTTTGCATCAGTCGCAGCTGCTTGGACGCACCAAGGAATCATTCTGCCACTTTGACGAGATCACCATGGAGTTGGTCTCCGACTGACCCCAAACTCGCAAGAGTGCTGCCCGATGCTACGGGGCAGCTGGGGAAATGCCTCCGCTTTCCTGGTTTCTTCTTCTTTCTAGGTTGCAGGGAGGGAAGCGTGGGAAGAAAATCGCGTTGGGCCGAGGGGATTCAGAAGAGCACCGCGTGGAACCTAGATGGGATGAAGCTGTACATAAGTAGCATCTCACCTCGTCTCACAAACACGGACGCCAGTTCGAGGGCGAAACCGGGCCCTTGCGCGCGCCGGGCGAGGCAAAGACCGGTTGCCAAGCATGCTCAAGCAGGTTCTTCAGGATGATCCCGGGACGATGAGGACGCAAACATGTATTGAACTTCTCGATGGAAATCTCGTGAGGGATAGAGACTTCCCCAGGCTTTCATGCGTTTACGCATGCCGTGTGAGTTGTTGATACCACGCAGCTTGTGTATGCTCCTCCCTGTCATTAGAACATCGCTGTCGGGAAGATCATGCCGCATGCCTCCCCACTGAGACTCTGTTCTCGGGTGCATTGACACCGCACCACTCCCTCATGTCAGTTCAGCTCTTACCGCCGTCGCCATTCTTCTATTTCAGGCGAGGTGCTGCGGGCTTGATGGAGACATCATGTCACGGCTGCAAGAGCACAGTCACTTTAAGTCGCAAGAAGCCTGAATCTGTCACCATCACCTGCACCCAAAGATGCTCTGACTCGACCCATAAATGTACTGGCAGATTCTTTAAGTGCGCTGAGCCTCTTAACTCACCCAAAAGCCCTAAATCAAAATCCCGTCAGAGCCCTGTAAAAACAAAACGGCTCGTGCTGTGTGAGCAGCTTGGAAATTAGAAACTTGCTGCCGGCCTTCTCTGACCCCTCGGTGCATGCCCTGGCTTGAGTGTTGAACAACTATTTGCTGAAGAACCCCCACTAAACAGAAAGATAACAATCCCAAGATGACCGTTATAAGGAAGAGTCTTTTTGATGTTCTTTTTTTTTTTTTGGGGGGGGGGGGGGGGGGTCCTTAAGCAAATAGGAATGAAAGCTGAGAGTCCCTGACGTTATTCATTTCGATGGCTATCTTTGGGTGCCGAGGGATGAGCCTTACCAGCACAGTCTGAGGGTTTAGGGTTTAGGGTTTAGGGTTTAGGGTTTAGGGTTTAGGGTTTAGGGTTTAGGGTTTAGGGTTTAGGGTTTAGGGTTTAGGGAGCTCGACAGAGCTCGACACACGGTAAGTTTGCCTGCGTGCCTGAATGCCATCATCAGTACATTCTTCTATGCCTGGCTGCAGTAGTACTTGCCGTCAGCAGATGAGTCATTTGCCACTATTTGTCCCTCTTTGTCATCGGATCAACTACAGGTTCCGGGTCCTAAGTTGCGAGAGCAGGAGCTTTTCGAGATTCTTTCTGCCTTGTGCATTCCCGACGCAACCCTTAGACAAACAATGCAAGGCCGCCTGACAGCTAGTCGACCCCCTAAACCCTAAACCCTAAACCCTAGACCCTAAACCCTAAACCCTAAACCCTAAACCCTAAACCCTAAATGGTGCTGCAGAAACCCTAAACCCTAAACCCATCAAGGTGCCATGCCGCTGGGCCTTGTCGAGCGCGCGCACCATGAGAACCCACGGCGCCTGCTCGGACATTAAAGGGTTTGGGGTTTAGGATTTTGGGTTTCGGTTTTGGGGTTGCAAAAGAGTACCTGGAGGCTTTGTTTCATCTGTCGTAAGTGCTTCTCGTGCGCGTTGAAGACAAAGAACGCCTTGAGTCTTGACATAATGTTTAAAGGGCACCGTTTCGCTTGTCCTCTCCAGCTCAGCTGATCCTGGGGCGGGTTGCGTGCCTCAGGCCCGAAGCTTTATCATGAGCTTCATCCAGAGTGAAGTGCATTCCTATATCAATCATTTGGTAAGTATATTAAGGACCATTATGCTATTAGACTATTAGTTTTGTATGTTACTTTGATTGGTTTACAAGCTCTCCGGTTGAGAAGGCTTCACCTCAGCAGGGTCGGCTTCTTGGGGTCCCTATTAATTTTACTGGGAGGTCAATGAGTTTTCATGTGGCTCCGATTAATTTTATCAAGATTTCCAGAATACAAGAATCCTACTATTTGGGGGTCATTGGGGGTCTATATTGGGGGTCCCCCCTACTTTCGCTAAACCCCATATCAAGGGCACCCCCCCCCCCCCCCCCCAAAAAAAAAAAAAAAAACTGGGGATGTCTGGGGATCTGAACGGTGTATTGGCATGTTCACATGCTCGGGGGGGTTTTCAGGGAAGCCGAGGGTGTGCATCTTCCCTACACCAGGTACGAGTCCCTAGCCTGGGCCTTAGCTTTGCTGTCGAGGTCGTGGCTGGGCGCTCGGGCATCATGAGTACTCAAGGGCCGCGGTGTCTGGCTCCGCCCTCCTTGTTTCAGGGCGCTGCGTTAGATAGACAGGAGCTGTGGGACTGTAGGTGACTGGAGAGAGGTGGCCGTGGTCTACTCAGCCTACTATTTGCATAAGAACCCCCCCCAAGAGTAAAATAATATTCTTCCTTACAAGGGTAGTTGAGGGATTGTTATCATTCCTTTCGGGGGTTCTCAAGGAAATAGTAGTGGTGGAGTATGTTGGAGTCACGGGAGTGTTTTGAATCTTGCTGTTCTCAACATTGCCTTGATTTCTCTGTCCTCTAGGTTAAAGGAAGTTTCTGTTTTGGGGGAGGTTCTTAAGCAATTCGTAGGTTAGGGTGGAATAGAAGAACCCAATCCGAAATATATTGGTACATTTTTCTAACATTATAGTAGTACATGATTATACTACTATATGCTTACGCTACTACACTATTACCTTATCACATGAATAATTTTCCAGGGCTACATGGACCTGAGTCGGAATGAGCAACGCAAGCTTCCTTGGTCGAACTTCACTAGCCCATGCATGCCCCAAGGCCCACGTCCGGCCCACCGTTGACTGCGGGCCACCCAAGGCGGGCGCAGTGATGGCGACGGTACAGAAGACCCATCTGACCCTAAACCCTATAAACCCTAAACCCTACCTGTGTGCCTCGCCTGGCTTGTCCGAGTGTGAGCGATTAAACCCTAAACCGCAATGTGGCCTGAGTGTCAGCTAGGCGGGTGGCAAAAAAAACCCTAAACCCTAAACCCTAAACCCTAAATCCTAAATCTTAAACCCTAAACCCTAAACCCTAAACCCTAAAACCTAAACCCTAAACCTAAACCCTAAACCAAAGTGAGCACACGCGCCCAGATTGCCTCACTTACCCTGGGAAGATGCCATACTGTACCCCAAGCCTCCCACTGGCCTGGGCTCTACCATGTGGGCATAGGGTTTAGGTTTAGGGTTTAGGGTTTAGGGTTTAAGATCCTAAGTAGGCAGGCCCACATGATGACAGAGACCACGATTGACACTTGGATCTGACAAACTGAAGCCTTGACCCCAAATACCCTAAGCTTGGTCCCGTCCCGCCACGATGTGGAAATCAACCAGAAACAGCTATATGACTTAAAACAAAATGCATAAGAGATTATACGGCCTCTGCATGTCTTGTTTTTCGCGCCGCCCTCAGAGAATTTTGTTTTAGTACTAGTGCTATTAAGAATCACAACCTCATCATGGGTATATATATATATATACACAGTTCAGGGGCGTTAGGGGTGGCCCCAGGCCCTGGCGCGCCCGCCTCGTCCCCCGGCCTCGTTCACCGCCGGGAGCTAAAGCACTGTAGGGTTATAGGGCCCTTAGGGTTTAGGGTTTCTGCATTGACAGCGTACAGACCCTCGGGACTGGGAGAAGCTCGTGGGCACTGTCTTCTTGCTTTTGCTTGCTAGCTCTCTTTTGCCTTCAAGGTTTCGGGGTTAGGGTTTAGGGTTCTCCACCCTTCACCACAACTCTAATGCCTAGCCCGCACGGATGGCAAAATGCTTTGGCTTGTCCGAGGGTGAGCGATTAAACGAGACGTCGCGCAGGCCAAAACGCTCCCTTGAAAAAAAGTATATGTTCTAAATTTGACATGGTATTCATTATAGTATATTACATATCCTAGCATAATAATATATGATAAGTTTGAGCTGTGCTGGAAGAGTTCTGCAAAACCCTCACGCGACTCATTGGAGGACATCCTAGTGGGTTGTATTCTGATGACTGCAATGGCGCCTGCCACACTGCTTTCGCTGCGATTGCGCGGCCAGTGCTGCGGGCCGACCTCTGGAGGAGCCTTGTGTATTGAGGTGAGCAAGATACCACATGGTTTAGGGTTTAGGGTTTAGGGTTTAGGGTTCGGCTTAGCAGTTTTTTTTGGATTCGTGGGGAGGTGTGTGGCTTGCAGCGGCGGCAGACAAGATGATAATCTGAGGGTTTTTGGAGAGTTGTTGGGGGACACAGAAGCCACATGACGCAAGCGCACGTCGAAGCCGCAGCAGCGTCAATTTTGACAGGTGCTGTGGTCCTTCGAAGGTTACTGTTGTTGACTTCGTTTCCGCTGAGCCCGGGACACTATCTTTGCCAACGTGTTACCCTGTGGAGCAGATCTGGGCCGTCTCGAGGAGAGAAATGGTCCTACAACCCTAGCTTTTGTCAGACACGGAATGTTCGGTCGCCAGGGCGCACCGAAATGCACAACACACGAGCCCACATCCGCTGAACTGCTCCCATCTCCGAGCCGGCTCGTAGCTACGAGTTGGGATCCTCCCCCTTATACCAACAGTCCTTCATAGGAATTACAGTCCCCCCCCCCCCCCCCCCCTTACTACAATCCCTACTAAGGAGCTGTGACACGGGGGGAACATCCCAAGCTAGGAGGCCCAGGCTTTCAACAAACTTGGGGCAGGACCAGAAGGGTGACATGGACATCGGATCCATCAGATCCGTCAGCTGGAACGCCTACCGGACTCCGGGTCGAAATCATTGCGGCATTCCCTTATAAGTCCCCTTGTAGTTGTACTAGAATAACCCCCCCCCCCCCCCACCTAGCCCTTTTATGGTCCCCTCAGAGATATACCATCATGACCCCCCCCCAAAACACTGTCATAATTATTAAGGCCCCTATACTACCGGACTCCAAAAGACCCCCAACCCTAAACCCTAAACCCTAAACATTTCCGGACTTTTTGCTGCAACGACCGACGTGGCTTTCGGGACTCGCATCCTTGAAGCTTGGAGTGGCGGGCTCGCCACTACTACCCTGGATATGGCACATCTGTATATCTAGATATACATGTAGGTCTGTGTGTATGTATACACACACATATATACATACATACATATATATCTATATATGTGTACACATGTTCATGTATTCATTCGCATTTCTACATGTATGTTTTTGAGTCTTTTACGTGTTTATGTATTTATATGTATGTACTTAAACATTCCGCATGTGTGCACATATATATATATATATATATATATATATTATACATGTTTACGTGTATATATATATATATATATATTCACCTTTCGATATATTTGTATGTCATATGTTTTTTGGAAGCACGCACGTGTACACGCATGCACACACGCACGCAGACATAGAAACAAAAACGATTTGTTCTTTTTCTGAGTCCGTGTGTCTCTTGGCAACTAACCGGCAAAAAACTTGATGGTTGACAGAGACTCGTGCGAGAGCGCGCACATGAGAAGAGGCAAATCTCGACCCAAACCCTGCTACTCCCCAACTTCAACTCTAATTTCTGCATGTTCTAAGCTAAGCCTTCCTCCATGAGGTATGCCGGCGACTACCTTCATGATGCTGCCGTTGTTCTGTTGCTGGGGCACGTCTTTTGCAGGCAGGCCGCTCTGTTTGGGCCCCTAAACCCTAAACCCTAAACCCTAAACCCTGGGCAGGTGCTTTAACTTCCTGGAGCTGCGGAGAATGTTCGGTGTAGTCTAGCCACGATTGAGATACTTCGGGATGTTCCCCCTTATGCTAACAGCTCCTTCGTAGGGATTCTCATAGGGGGTACTACAATCCCTCTTAAAGACTGTTAGTATAAGGGGGAACATGCCAAGAGATACTCGTAGCACAGATTGCATCCTAAATCCTGAGGATGTGGGGTTGGAAGTTGGAATTGGAGCCTTCCAAACCTTTCTTGCTCAGAGTGGGGGCTGTGTGACCAGCAAAGCCCAGACTGTTTTTCACCCGCAGCTCCTCGTCCACAAAACGAGGCATAGCGACTTAGGCTTACTACGTTCCTCCGGCACATGGTCGCCCTGAAGGTTGGTACTTATGGAGAGCTCCGAAGACCCCAAACCCTCCTTCGGGAATCATCCTATAAAATTGACAACGGCACAGAGAAGATTAGCATGGCCCGGGTGCGAGGATGACGCAACGCGAGAAGTGTACCAAGAACGCCTTGAGGGCCGAAATCCTACACCGTGTCCTCCAGGCGCTCCGTCAAGGGCTTCTCGCGCCGTTCACAGAGCAGCCTGGCGGCCACTAGGAGCTTTCCTTTAGGGTTTAGGGTTTAGGGTTTAGGGTTTAGGGTTTAGGGTTTAGGGGTTAAAGGCAAGCTTGGAAGTAAAAATGCTCTGATGAAATCCTGGGAACTGAGTGCGCGGCATCAGCATCAGGTTGACTCGCTCTGTGGCGTAGTCTTCTGCTGTGTGAGCGCACACGATTGCAAGACAGAAAGATCACAACCCAGAGAGCCGAATCAAGGAACATGGCTTACTTAAATTCTACTATATAGGGATCCTGAATAGTATTCAAGGTATATTCCTTACTTAACGTCCGCAGGAACAGGTGTCTCCTGCAAATGTCCTGGACATGCTTGACAGGAGTCGTTGCGCAAGTGTGGTTGAGGTTGGCATGCGCGAAGGCATGCGGGCAGTTCTCTACATGAGGGTCCGTTTTTGGGTCATGTATATAGTACGGCACCCTTAAACGAAGGACCCCAACCCTCGTTTAGAGAACTACCCAAGTGCCTTGGTAGACGCGAGGTCTTTACTTTGTGCTGTACGTGGCGCGGTACCTAGACCTGCTCGAGCACAGTTGCTTGGCACTACTTCACCACAACGAGTACCCAAGCTATGAGCAGCTGACGCAGCGACGTAGCACCCGCCAACATCTTCTGATGCCATCGTAAGGCTTTGTATTAGTTAAACGGTCGGATTCCCCTTGTCCGCTCCAGTTCTGAGATGGTTGTTAGCTGCACAGGGAACACCCCGAAGAGCATTCCATGTCCGCCAGTCCTCGCCATGCAAAATTCCACCCTCCACCAGAGGGGTCAAGTAGCTTGTGATCAGCTCAAACATCCAGACAAGGAGCCCTCTGCCCAACGCTCAGAGCCAATCCTTTTCCCGAAGTTACGGATCTACTTCCCTGTAAGGGGGATTTAGGGCCAAATTTTGGGCTAACAAACCACCCGTCCGTCTAGTACCCCAAGCCCCGAAACACTAGCCCGGCATCCAAATCGATCCGACCTTCAGGGTCCCTTATGTTCGTAAACCCCATTTGGGTTGGCAGAATGGTTCTGCATTCTGCAGTATCGATCTTGCCCTAAACCCTAAAGGGTGGGTTGGGGGACGCCGCTGCCATTGATTTCAGTTCGCTGCAGAAATCGGCAACACCTGTAGAATTTCGGGTTCCTCGACCGATGTTCCCTTCGAGGTTACCAGGATTTTGGGGGTTCTTCGGGTTTCCTCAGATTCCTCAAGCCCCGCAAGAAACCCTCAAAGAAATCCGAGGCCAAGCCACTTACCTGGTGGCGCACAAGCGTCTCGGCCTTTCACGCGGGGTTGGGCTTCACGCCGTTTGTGTTTAAGGTTTGTAGGAGGTGGGGCTAATCGTTTTTGTGGCGTAACATCGCCGGGTTCCACAATCTCGGAACGCGCGAGGCATTGCGTTTGAGGGCCAGATGCTCATTCAGAGCAACGGGCTTCGGCATGCCAACGTTGAGATGCAACCCACCCAATCCTGCAACCCACCCAATCCTGTGGGCTGACCCGCCAGTGCTGTATGTAGGGTTCCAGGTTTAGGGACCCAAAGAGCCCAATACCCCTTAAGGAATATACCGTGCATGAGAAAGGGATCCTAAACATGATTTAAGGTATATTCCTTAATGCAAGTGTATTGGGCTCTCTGGGGACTCCAGGAGTCTGGGTTAAACAAAGGGTTTAGGGTTTAGGGTTTAGTGTTTAGGGTGTTTAGGGTTTAGGGTTTAGTGTTTAGGGTGTCCCCCTTTTTCTGTTTGACCAGGTTGTTCTTCATTGGCACTGCGGCAGCCGCTCTTGTCGCGTTTGGCCAATTGGCTGATGTCAGGTATGGCTATGATATAAGATGTAGACAGTCATATAATGTGTACATCTAGTTGTATGTTCTGTATCTGTGAGCTGATTTATCGCACATAACATACCTTTTGGGAACCCTTTTTTGGTATGAAATATGTATGTATGAGCGCCTGCCTAAAAGCCAATACCACGGTGGACACGAGTTGTTCCGAACATCAGTAAACCATGGAAAGCGATATGGGCCCCACCCTAAAGCGATAACATTAGTTTGCACATTCAGACACATGCATCTCGCAGCCCCATAGTATGCAAAGCGACATGGGCCCCACGTAAAGCGACAACATGGTATTCCGCGATCTCGCAGTCTGTAAAATAGTTTTGTCCGTCGCATATATATATATAGTTAACATGTTCTCAGAATGTTTTGTTGTATATACATCGCTACAAGTGCCTAACTATCCATATGTATATATATA